CACGGAGACAGAAATATGGAGTTAGTACTGTGAGATGATATATATCCACATAGATCATTTGTAAGATTGTTAGTACCAGGATTATTTGCAATACCAGCATGCAAAAAGTGATCATTAAATTTGTTCACCAGTGGAGTACTGGTATATTCCACATCATCAAACATAAGTGTGCTAGGGATCATAATATTTGAGCTGCCTTTGAGTTTACGAATTGTAGCCCATATTTTTTTGGGGTCACCTGATATCGACGCAAACACATCTTGGTAATATTGAGTGCGAGCTTTCCGAAGATCCGAATTGAGCTTGTTCCTGAGCTTTTTATATTCCCGGAGAATTGTTTCGTCTTTTACACGAATGAAAGTGTCAAATAATCTGTCCCTCATTCTAATTCTATGGTATAACTCACGAGTAACCCATGGTTTTCTAGATTTTCGATTACCTTTAACTGAATGTAGTGGAAAAGCAGAGTCATACGAGTGCTTAACTTTCTGCAAAAATAAATTGTAGGATAAATTCGGATCTTTCTCGTTGTATACATCTGTCCAATCAATATTTTCGACCAATGACCTAAATGCATTCAGTGCCTCATTATTAAAATTTCTTCTAAAAAATGGAGCACTGCGTGCATGACAGTTTTTACTTTTGGGGCGCGGAACGAAAACAAAGATTGGCAGATGATCACTAATATCGAAAGTGAGAATTCCTGAAAATACATCAGCGCTATCATGATTTGTTATGCACAAGTCAATTAAGCTTTCTGTATCTGGTGTTATTCTAGTGGCCCGGTTTATAGTGTTAGAACAATGAAATGACTCTATGACATCATTAAAACGTTGTGTTTGAGAATTGGATAATAATAAATTTATATTAAAATCACCAATCAGAACAACCGACAGACCTGTCATGGTAGCGTACTCAAGAATCTTGCTAACAGACAAACTAAATTCATGAAAATCACCAGAAGGGGGGCGATAGATAGCCGCAATCACGGTACTACAACATTTGACAGCAATTGACTCATAATCATCGTTAACGGCTGAAAATTCAGCGAGAACAAAGTAGTTCAGGTTATTTCTGATATAAAGTGAACAACCACCTCCTCGACGACCTTTCCTGTAGACACTTTCACACTTGTATCCATCAAGAAAATTGACATCAGAAACCGACGAAAACCACGTCTCTGTAAATGCCAGAATGTCAAATTTATGGTCTAGTGCCTCCAGAGCTGTTTCTAATTCCATGACCTTACCACTCAAGCTTCTGCTATTTACATGAAAAATAGACAAATGATCACTCGGCTTTAAAGAATGACTCCGCAAGGTAGAATTGAAAATAGAGCTGTTATAATAGCTTATGCTAGATGATTCTTTCATCATAGAAAAAAAGAAAAAAAAAAAAAGTACGCGAACACAGAAAGACACGTCACAAACTGATCAGTAGCTTATTGTATCTTATCTAAGTCGGTTTGACATTCAATGCGGATCGCTCGCTCGCCCTGTGCCTTACGCACAAACATCTTTCCTTCTTTCTGCCAAACAAACTGATAGTGCTTTTCTTGCGCCCTAGCCCTCATTAGCCACAAAAGCTTCCTGTTTTCTGCCGTCAGATTATCCAAGAAATAGACATCCGATTTTGAAGACTTCAAATAGCCTTTCTTTGCCATCCATTCATTCCGTGTAGCGCACGATACAAAGCGAACGAGCACCGCTGGTTCTTTACCTGGCTTGGGCGGAAGCCTGTGCAAGCCGTCAATATTAGCTGGCGTGAGCTCGGCAAGGTTTAACTGTTTCGCCAGGTTATTCAGTTTACCGAGCAACTGTTCGCCTTGGCTATGGGGGATACCATGAATTTCCAAATTTTGACGGCGGCTATATTGCTCTAAGTAGTTGAGATGCTGTCGCAGCTTCTGAATTTCCAGAGGGTCATTGGCTGCTTCAGCCTTTTCAACTCTTTTCTTTAGAGTAGCTATTTCACATGATTGCTTCCTCATCTCGATGAGTACATCGTCATACTGCTCTGACAAGTGTTTAACAGATTGTTCCATATTTTGGACTGTGTCCTTCAGTTGCATTAGTTGATCTATTCTGCTTTTAATGGTGGGTATCTCCGACAACTTGCGATTTATTTCAGCCAGTATTTTTCCAGTGTCAGATGTCTGCTGCAGCTGCAACTTCCCGCTGCCGGCGTTCGCACGTGCAGCCAGAATAACACATGCTTGACATTTCCATGCTTTTTTTACTGCCTCGTCGCCTGTCTTAAAAGCAGACTTTGTTACTCCTGAGCATGGTCCAATGTGATAACCGTAGCTACATTCGGAGCACATTGGGCAACTACCGGGATCGGGAAGTGCCTCTTTGCACACTAAACACAAGGCAGAAGCTGCCATTCTCAGTACACACCCGAAATGTACAACACTTCAAATCACGCAGCTCCCACAAGCAAAGCAAAACGACGACAAAACGAAAAAGCGATTTTGTGGTGGTGGTAGGCGGCACAACAGAGAAGAAATGTTAAGGCTTTGTAACTAACCTGCAAGATAGAAGAAATCAGTCTCCCGAGCGTCCGCCCGCCACCACCACCGCTGAACAAATGCGATGGTATCTGATGCGCTTCGTTCTTTTACACAGCTTGATGACGTCACGAAGATTGCGAGGCCCACGTAATGTCAGCACTGTCAAAGTTCCAGAGCTGTCAAATCCGAAGAACTCGGAAACCCTGAGTTGCCTCTCCTCAGAGATGAAAAAACGATGTTTCCAGGTTGGCCTGTTCCTTTTGGGACAGCTCGGGGTCTGCACGAAGCGTGGGAGGTCCGTGTGGTTTCACAGCTTGATGACGTCACGAAGATTGCGAGGCCCACGTAATGTCAGCACTGTCAAAGTTCCAGAGCTGTCAAATCCGAAGAACTCGGAAACCCTGAGTTGCCTCTCCTCAGAGATGAAAAAACGATGTTTCCAGGTTGGCCTGTTCCTTTTGGGACAGCTCGGGGTCTGCACCACCACCGCTGAACAAATGCCCTCTTCACTGGATATAAAACTAGAGTGATGAGTGGTCTGGTGTGCCTTTCTGCTTCAGTGACCCAGGGCGGGAGCGGGATGTAGACAGAAATGTACAACCTTACCGCGACCATTTGGGTTCTAGGAAGGATTGTTCTTTCGAGAATGGAATGTCATTTCGTTTCTGCCTTTGCGCAAGCCAAGATCATAGGCGTATAAGCCGGGGTGGGGGGTCAAGGGGGGCACGAGCCCCCCCACTGAGAAAAGTTGGGGGAGGGACTGAGCCCCCCACTTTTGTCAATGGTCACTCTTGGCTTCAGGCTGGGGAAAACAACAAGTAAGGTGTAGTTTTTCATTATATCAGTAATCACTTAATCATGTTCTCACAGAAGAATGAAATTGTTACGAGGCTATGTTACAACATAGTAAGATTTTGGCAACATTTCCGCTATGATGACTTTCCTTGTAGGCTATATATATATATATATCGTAGTTGACTAGTGAGGTAGGTTAGCCCCCACCCATTCGCGACAGAGTTGGTACGCCACTGGCCAAGATTCCGGCGTTGTTGCACTTAGTTTCATTTGCAGTAATGTAGTGGTTTTAGTTTGTGGTTAGCTTGTGTCCTGCTTCATATTAGTTACTGTTATGCTTCTGTTTCGTATGCTTTGGGCTTGATTTGCATGGACCCACAAAGTACTAAGCGTTGTCCTGAATTTCCCGTTGCTTAATAAGTTGATATCATGGTCCGAGTATTTTGTATAAGCACAAATAATGTGGTCTGCTTCATACATTTTTTGAAAATGGCTTGTAGGATGGCGTGTAATGAAATGTAATGTAACATTAAAAGTATGTGTACGATTGTTTTTGTCGGTGCTCATCCAACCCAGCTGAAACGTTGCTAAGCAGCGCCTAAATGTGCAGCCACATCCCTCCCTTCCCTCGCATGTATAAACTTGTGAGTTTAAAATCATTGTGTTCATTGTTTAAATTGCTGCCCTGTGGGCAACCCCAAATGGCTGCAGCACTGAGCTGCTCATTGTAGCTCCTCCAGCATTACGAATTATGGCTATGTTGTTGAGCAAACTGTCGCACTTATAAATGGAGCTCAAAATCTGCTTCCCTCTCTCACAAACAAAAAAAAGGAAGCGACGATGTGACTGTGTGCTTAAACGCCCCAAAATGAAGGAAATTGAGCACGTCTGCTCATGCCACAGCATTCGACAGGCCCTGGCTGGATAACACGAGATGTTCACTTTTATCTTGAATTCCCGAAGGCAACTCTAAATGAAAACAATAGGGTCGAGAGCCCTTAAAATTATGTTGTGCTTGGGAATGCATTGAAAATATTTTCAATACTCCTACCTTGAAAGGGCAATTTCAGATAGAGGGGTGGCTTGGTAGTAACATGTCAAAACTGGTCTGACGTCATGGGAAGACTGTAAACGGCTGCATACTAGCACTTCCTCTCTCGCATGGCTCACGTAAACGAGTGAATGGTCATCTAGAAACTCTGACAACCATTTCTACAAATTAGGCTGCATGTAGAACGCAAATTTTACGAAACCAGTGAACCCTGTTGACATTTTGTGATACTGACCTTGGCAGTTGGGCAGGCCTCCAGACACTGGGTAGCAAGAATTTCAAAATTAAAAGTTAAACAGACTTGTTGTCTGGCTACCTGGTGTAGAGAGCATTAATAGTGCACACCATGAATACGGAAAATGTCTCTTTTGGGGTGCCTCAAAATTGTGTCAGTGTTTTGAATAGATTGTTTTTGTGCTTTATGCCATTTTTTTTGAGAAATGGGGGCTTCTATATGCTGGTCCCTCTGTACGTTTTGGGGGGCTTCTATGGGCTGGTCCCTCTGTACGGTGTGCAGCAGTTTGTTCATCACTCCTTTTTATAATTTTTGTCAATGGTGGTACTTGGGAAATGAGGGATGCTTGCGTGTGGTCACATGGAGCTTAATTGTTTTTCGAATGTTCTTTTTTTAAACCTTTGCAGCGTGGATCGGACGAGCTGCTGACGCAGACCAACGCCGTGAGCAATGGCACCATCATGAGCCCACAGAACAACCACAGTGATAACAACAATGATGCCAAAAAGGTGTGCTTTGTTTCTTACTTGGCAAAGTACTGGCACAAAGTTTTTCGAAGGCGAGATAACTTATTATGCAAATCTATGTGGACACACAGATATTTTCTAGAAAATATCGGTGGTATATACACACTTGAAGGTTGTTGGGTCTCGATGTGGAGAGCACCACGCTCTTGGAGTGAATGGACACGGTAGACACGGTCAGAACAAACCAAACAACTCACACATTTAACTGCTTTTAGAACGGCAGTATTGTAAGCCGAATAATTATACATCAGTTGTACTCAAACACGCTAAAACAGCCTCACACATAATTGCGCAACACTCAAAAGTATAACAAACACAAGGTGGCAGCGCCAACGCTTGACTCTCCACAAGGGCCCCTAGCAGATCGCCCGCAGTGGTTTGCACCGGGGACCCACGTGAGAGTCAATCGTTTGCGCCAACTGCCACGCTCCAGACAGCCTAGTTCAACTCTCTCGTGCCGCCACCAAGACCTTCCGCCAGGCATCGCCACCGTCGCTACCGATCTAACCATAATGACTATGGCGATGATTAACGCTCGCGAGCACGCCACCTACCGCTCGGTAGTTACTCTAAACGCGGCCTATGCGCGAAACACAACTGCATGTCGCGCAACTGAGCAGTGGAGAATGGTGTGCACGCATATGTTCATTAAGCCAAAGGAGAGCTTGCGAAATTGCTACATTGTATTAAACAAGTGCGGCTAGTTTGCAATGCTCGGAAAGCCTGACTGGTCTTGCACAAGTCTTGCTCTCCGAGCAAGACTTGTTTGCCTACGATCCATAATAGTTAAAGCAGTACTGATATGAACCAATTTGAAATGTTTTTGAATTGTGGCTCTAACTAAAAACACTACTGTGAAGAACCCTAAAAAGAGCATTGTGGTTTTTGGGAATGCATCGAATACATTTCTTGGGGACCTTCGACTAAAAAATTTTGGTCTGTCTGTCTGTACATTTGTCTGTTTGTTTGCCCTAACGATACTTCAAACGGCCAACTTCACCCGCAGCGCCCACCAATATTGCTCAAGGTATAGCGTTCATAGTTGTGCGATTGTCAATTAAAAAAGCAAACATTGCGCATATCTGAGAAGCCATAATAACATGTCTGTTTTGTATGTCTGCCTTTATATTACAAGAGGCACACACAAGTAATTCTAAGGACTGTAGCGTTTAACGCGCTGCGCTGACAGTGTAATGCGATGCTCAAGAAGGTGTTTCTAACTCTTTGCTACGACGGCACGGTGGTGGCGCCTGCACGTCGCTTTCCTTTCTACACCTTATCACCTCCGAGACTGACGCGCATCTTTCTCCGCGGTCGTGCACGTCTTTGTTTTCGAAGATAACGAACGGCCAGATGGTGCTCGTGCCTAACGTGCCTAGATGCGCTTGTTCGCCTCCGTTACATGCGCGTGGCACTGTAACGCAGCGCCTTCAGAATAGCATTCACCGATTTTCTTGCGCGGAACATCAAATAAACGTTTTGTTCACTCTCTCCAGATGCAAGACTATCGTCTTTCAACGACATTTACAGTGTAACATGTTGATTCGGGCCAATTTTTTAATACTGCTAGCTTAAACAAACGTTTTTGGTTATACCATCCCCTTTACTTCTCTTGGCATCACTGTCTGTTATCTATCGTTAATATTGTGTCGAACAGGAAAACTGAGCCCTTAATTTACGCTTCTTTCCTTCATTCTCAGTGTTTGATGATGTGTTGTTCAATTTCTGATGATGGGGGTTCAGGCACCACTCTTAAACTGCTTTGTGTTACGGCAGGTGAAGCTGGACACCGGCGGCAAAGGGGTGGTCGGAGCGGGCAAGCCCTCGCGGGTGGTGCACATCCGGAACATCCCGAATGATGCGTCGGACACGGACATTGTGCACCTGGGCGTGCCTTTTGGCAAGGTGACCAACGTGCTCCAGCTCAAGGGCAAGAACCAGGCGTTCCTCGAGATGGCCGATGAGAACTCGGCTGTAGCCATGGTCGACTACTTCGCCAAGGCCTCGCCGACCGTGCGTGGCCGGATGGTCTACGTCCAGTTCTCGAACCACCGTGAGCTCAAGACGGACAACGTCCATGGTGGTCTGGTCAGTCCTGCTGAATTATCTCCTAAATTACAGAGGTGGTGCTAGTGTCGAATTAATAGTTATGACATCAGTTTGTTCATGAATTTTACATATAATTGGTTACAACCTAACGGTGAGTTCCAATGTTGGATGAAGATTGGCCCAAGAACCCTATGCTGGAGCACTCTCTGGGAGGAAAGGGAAGGAGGGGCGCTCTAGCACTTGCTGCATGCTTCTTTTGCGTGCCGCTGGTGCACAGACCTGCAAAATGGCGACCCTGCCGCTATCGCTCCTCGCACATGACATCAGGTTCATGCCTCACATACTTTTGCTTATGTTTGTATAAGTCGCATAACACTAAAGCTAAATGTTTTATATAGGTTTGGTTCACTTTGCGAAATGTCAAGTGCTGTTTTAAGAGTATAGTTGCCTTTCTTTTTTTAGCTGTTTAGGACTTGCAAAGTGGTCCGGGCTACTCATTGTTACATCATTAATATATATATTTATGTATCTTTATGCAAGTGAAATAACTCCACGCAGGATGTTTTGAATGTATTTGAGTCACTTCAAGCCTATGTTGAACTTTCGACCACTTTTGTGAGCTTTGTGTGTTGTGATCTTGAGAAGTTATTAAGACGAAATGTTGTTGTCATGATTGTGATATCTATTTATTTATTGTAAGCGCAATAAGATGACTCACTTTTGATAATTTTATTGAAGAAATTTGCAACTTTGCATACCCCTTTGAGTTCCTGAAAAACTTGCGGCAGGTCCTGGAAAGTCCTTGATTACGCTTAAAGTTTCTCCTTGGAAACCTGTATGAACTCTGCACAGTATTTGTTGCACAAGTATGCAGTATTCGTAGCACGAGGATGCAGGTGCAGTACTTGTGTGTTCAAACGCGACATCAAATCCAAACGTACGACTGGTACACAGAATAGCTCGAGGTAGCTATGTCGTGTCAATGCCAAATCCTGTCTCTAAAGATAGTGTTCACCCTGATGTGAGCATTCCAGTCGAACACACATCCATATGATACCAAGTAATAACGGTGAAAGCAAAAGTGCCTGCGTTACATCGCCCTAAATGGTCTCGTTTTGGAAGGAGTTCTGTGCGAATTCCTGGCCACGGTGGCTGAATTTCAAAAGGTCAATAGCAGCAGTGCCTGTGTACTTTAACTGTGTGTTGAAATACCTCATGCAGCCATATTTTAATCAGGGGACCTTGAAAAAGTACCGGCTTTGTAGTCGCATTGAGGTTTTGGCCTGTGAGGTTTTGGCCACAGAATGAAATTTAAAAATCAGCCGTGGGGAGTAGTTGGAGTGTTGTCGCAACTGGTGTGCCTTTGGGAGCTCTGGTTTCGGGCAACCTGGGGTGTTAGTGCCCAGTAATGGCGATTGATCCCTTCTTCGGCGATTCTGCAGGCCAACCAAGGAGGCGAAGGTGGTGGTGCTAACACGGTGCTGCGTGTCGTAGTAGACAACCAGATCTACCCAGTTACACTGGACCTGCTACACGGCATCTTCAGCAGGGCAGGGAAGGTCCTCAAGATCGTTACTTTCACGAAGAGTAGTGAGTACCTTTTTGTCATGGCTCGTCTCTACAATTCATGCCAGTTCAAGCTTAACCAGTCTTGGATGTGTGGAGGGTACCATGAATGACTACTACTACTACTACTACTACTACTACTACTACTACTACTACTACTACTACTACTACTACTGCTGGTGCTGCTGCGGCTGCAGCAAAAAAAAAAGCTTAATTCGAAATTTGAGGGAACTGAAAACTTTTTTTGAATTAAGTAGAGTTCGAATTAGCAGGCCGGTGCTAGAATGAAAATCTTGGCACACTGCATAGACAGAAACCAAAAACGTACTAAGCGCTCACTTGTGACAGCAGCGGACAGAAATAATTGATCAGTCAGTGGGACACCAGAAACAAGCACTTTTATTTTCATGGCAGCGTTAACAAAATCAAAATTAAAAGGAGTCTGCAATTTTCCTGAGTGTCTTCTGTCGCAACCGCATGGGCATTGTTCATAGCTTGCCGAAGAGCTCTGGTGCTGCTTCTGAATTCTCATCTGCTGACTAATGCTGCTGTTCCACACTGCCGGGACCAGGGTGTCAGTTTGAATTCAAGCAAGCTTTTACAGGACTACCGTTACTGCACTGGCTGCCACTAATTCTCAGTCTGCGCTTTTATATTTTGGTAGGCTCTAATGCATCCAGAACTCTACTTCCATGTCGCAACTGTAAAACCATTCTTCCATGACATGTCGCTAACTGGCATTCGCATACCTGTCAAGTCGCCTGGATTGGCCGGGAGACTCCCGGATTTGGACCGTTTTTTTCGGTTGTACGGTTGTCATGAAAATCTCCCGTACATCAATTTCTGTGCGTGATCTGGCTGCATTGTCAAATAAAAAAAAAGCAGCTCAATGTGCTCGAAAGGCGTTCATGTAAACGTACAGTATAATCAGTGATGCGAAACCGCGGCAGATACGAATTTTTGAAATTTCCCAGCCAAATTTTACTATGTACATCAGTTCTCAATTCGAATGTTCCAAACACATTTCCCAATTGTACATTAGGCCCCAATTCGAATGTTCTCAATACATTTCCTAATCGCGGCGGATGATATGAACGTTGGTACGGAAATTGTCGAACGAGGACCGAGAGCAGCGTACTCGCTTCGAAAGTATGCTTGCGACCCGCGAAGTGCTGTCTTCTACAGTGCGTGTGATTGTCGTTGCCACAATCGTTGTGGACGAAACTGTGGTCGCTCTTGACACGATCATGTATGGCGACGACGTTGCCGACAGAACCCCCGAAAGTGTGCCCTCAACCAGTGAAAGCAACGCTGCTTTCCGCAAACTCTGTGGACTAAACTGTGGCAGATGCTATCGTAGATGGCATAAAACGACTTAGTTTTTAGCACGCCTGCGCAGCCAAACACACGGGGATTGTAAAATGAACGCAACCGCCGCACACAAAAGCGTGGTCGCGGCGACGCGATAGTGATCTACGAGCCCCGAGGGCATGCAGCAGTAAGTTGAAGGCAGTAAATACGTAAAAAAAAAGTTAGTTTTGCCACAAGGGCGAAGAAATAAGTGTGACAGCAACTTAAAATGTAACGCTGAGAACGGCAAGCAAATCGAAACGTGCAGCGCGCTGCTCCCACACAAATTCTGCACGAATGCAATACTCGCAGGACGAGAGCGAACTAACAGCGTTTACCGATTGATCCTAACGACACGTAACGCTCTGTTTAAACCAAAACGATGCACGATACGAAATCGCAGCTACAGATGAGTACAAACTAACAAGTGCCCCAGTTGTTATACATCGCTGTGTATGAGAAGCAGGCTGTTTTCGAAAAAAGGGCCTTGTGCAGAGACCACACGTGACCTTTGTGGGCCCGGCAACTAACGCTTTTCTTTCAGTGAAAGCCGAAGGTGCACGATTCTCCCGCCACAGGATAAGCGCTTGCGCACAGGTATCTACCCCCCCCCCCCCTCTACGGGGCAAAGTACAATTGAGAAATAAGCAGGCATCCAACGGTGGCTTATTTTTACATATACGGTGAAGGAAACCTGCGATGGCGACAGCAAAAAAAAAAAAAAAAAAAAACAGCCTGGACTGTCCATATAAAATAAAAAGGGGCCAAACACGTTTTGGCATTCTAGTCAAAAGAGTCTAGTAGTGAGGAAAGCTTTGACCTGCGCTTTTGCAGCAGCCAGCTGCGCGGTCCGGTCCATTCACGTGTCCCCCAGGAAGACACACGCAAGTTGTTTTGACTGAAAAAGATTCTGCTAGTTGTGTTGATCGTTTGAGACTCTCGCCTTTGTGAAACTCTACCCGCGTGTGTTCCGCCACTCCTAGCCGCTACAAGACCGCAACGCTGATGCTGGCGCTTGCGATTGAGACCTCCCTCCCACCCCCTTTGTTTTTCGGCATGTTTCTTCATCTTTGGTTTTTTTTTTTTGTGCCCCACCTTCCCCCCCTTTGCCGAAATCTCCCAGATTCAAAATCCTTGAAGTTGGCAGGTATGCATTCGGAGCTCGCCTAAGTGCTCATATAAACCGGTCATGTTAACTTTTCATACAGCCTTGCAGCTTGACTATGCAGTTAGCCGTACACAGTGGAGCTGATTGTGTCTGCACTGCAATAGCTGTCTCTCTCTTTCAGATTCATTCCAAGCCCTCATTCAGTTCAGCGATGTCATGGGTGCCCAGGCAGCAAAGCTGGTACGTGTGGTTCGTCTCGTCTTGCAAATAAAATAAGATAAATAAACAAATCCCTTGTGCATTACCTCAACCTGGACAAAGGGCATTACACCTGTTTCAATACGGCAGCTCGTGCAATCATTCTTTTCTCCACTGCAGGCGTTGGATGGGCAGAGCATCTACAATGCTTGCTGCACATTGCGCATAGAGTATTCCAAGTTGACCAATCTCAATGTTAAGTACAACAACGACAAGAGCCGCGACTTCACAAACCCCACCTTGCCCACTGGGGACCCCACCCTCGACATTGGATTGGCAGGTGAGGAGGCATTGTTTGTCGACCTTTTTTTTGATGTTCTTGCAGCTGACTCTAAGACACTGCATTCTCGTGATGCATTGTGACTAGGGAGAAGTCGGTGGTGGTGCTCTAGTTGTGATTTTAAACTGACTTTTTAATGTACGTTACCACAAGAATTCTGTCGCATGAAACGTCTGAAAACCTTTCATTTGCGGCTGAGATATGTCTGAAAAGAGCTGTGGACCTATAACGTAGCATGGAATATGGAGTAATAGTCTACGTTCGTTGTTCTTGATAGGTTGTTTTGATGTATATGCGTCAAAACCCGCACTGTGAACTGCGTAAGCTGCACTGGCACTGTAAAAAAAAAAAAAACGGAATGGTACTTCGTATGTCATTATATGCTGTAGGTTTTGCTTTTTCTAGCGCAACGTGTTTTTCTGTCCTTCAGAAAGCATTGGAATGACCACATTAACTTACGAATAACACAGACCAGAACACAGAGTTCTTTTTCTTTGGCAAAATATAAAAAATTGCTGTGTGCTGCATTCTTATAGTGTTGAGTAGCACTAACTTTTTTTTGTAACATAATGCTTCTTTGGTAAAGTGAATGTGACAACCTAAAAATTTTCTGCGCTTAAGACAAGACGCTTTGCTGTTCTGCTGCAACGTCACATTGTGCTGCCTTTTGTTTTGCTTTCATTGTCTTTTCGTTTTGGTTCCACTGAACCATTGTCTTGTTTCGATTTTTACTGTGTTTGATGCGTGGCAGTGAGTAGGACAAAGTTTTTAAGTGTGTGGATGTATGTTGGTGTCTATGTAATTCTAGTTAGACAAGACTGCTTCTTCTAGTTGTCGAAGCTCAGCATTGAAAATGTCAGCACAACATTGACGGCGAGTGTGCCAAAAACTGTACATGCATCACCTATTTTTTATGGGCTTACGATTGCCACCTGGCTGCTAATTACTTCACACTTCATTTGCACTCACTTGAGGGACGGGATTGGTGTCTGGAATATGCAAATTCAGTCATGAAGTAATTAAGTTCAGCCGAGCTTTCTGGATTCACTATACTATGTAGGCCTACGCTGGTCAATACGTGATCATTATGAATTAACTGTAGTGCAGATATATTTTTACATTTTTTGGAAGATTTAAAATGGTCCTTTCTCTCAAGATTTTCACCTTGGGCTCCTGCCACAATGAATGGCATTTTGACAATCTAAAGTTTTGTAAGACAGAACTAGCTTTGTCCTGCTCACATGAAATTGCTGCACTCTTTTGGTTGAGTATGTATAGAGTCCTGTGTCCCTGTTTATGTGTTGTCTGGTGTTCAAATTTAATTTGCGGTCGAAGAGATGCGGGATGTGGGAGCAGGTGGTGGCTCAGGTAGGCGAGCGTTCGTTTACACGTCTAACCTTCCCGATGTTGAAGCGTGTCAATTAGCCACTCCCAAGGCTGTGGAATGCGCGTTGTGAATTGTTTCTTTTTTTTAATTTGCCTGTTTTAGGGCCATTTACTCTTCTAATAGCTATTGACGTGGTGCCTTCTTATTGGCCTTCAACACAGTTACGTGGCAACACAGCTATTGCCCCTCCAGAGAATCGACGAAATTATTCTAATTGTTTGTGTAGTTAGAGTGCTAGAAGAGGTGCTCCAGCCCTAATAAGTACAGTAGGTCCTAAATGCATTGCCTAACATGTGGTTCGTGCTAGGCTAGGGGGCTGTGGTATGAATGAGCTGCAGCAGCTCAGATAATTTGCCTTGAAGCTAGGGGGTCATGGAACTGAAAGCACGGGAAGCGCTGTTGGCTTCGCGTGCAGAGTTGTAGGAGAATCTATTGGCCATACTTGAAGACTTCAAGATAAAAACCAGCTTAGGGACGCGTACACAAGAAGAGAATACTCGTGCGTCTATCGTCCTCTCTTCTTGTTTACACGTCCCTAAGGTGGTTTTTTCTGTTTCTTCAAGTATTGATTGGCTTAACTTAGTGCAAAACATCTGAGCAATAAAGCACAAGTCATTTTTTGTTGTCAGCATTGTTATTCTCTTCAGATTTTAATGGTAATGTCTTATTTCCTTGCATTTGTAGTAGCCGATGCCAGTGACGATTGGAGTCTTATAGGTATCGTGCAATACATGGTATGAGAGAGGAACGTATAACAGGAGGTGACAATTTGTTACTAAAGGAAACAGCATTAGTTCAGCATATTAAGCCAGTTTGTGGTGTCTATGCAAGTAGTTGTGCATTTTAGGAAACATCTAAATGCTGGCGCTATAACATTTCAACTCGTCAGTATTCTATGGCACTAACTCTATCTCGGCAAGCCAGAACATGCATATTGCATACAAAAGTCATTAAAACACATCTGTTGTGGTGGTTCACAGTGTTCTGGTTGAAAATTCAGGTACCCTTGCTAATCGGCATTTTATGTGCCAAATTGTAGCACAGGGTAGGTCTGCGTACCTGAGACGATTGAAAAGTCCGAGATTGTGAATTTGGTATAGCCTTGCGGGTCGGCAGAGTAGAACTAAAGGTGAAAAGTCTTCATGAAGACCTGGATTCAAATTATTTCGACATAACGACAGCAACTAAAAGGAATCGAAGTGTTCAGCTTATTGGTTTGGTCTGTATCAAATGGTCGTGGTTGAAGAGCAAGAACTGTGGAGCACTTGTGTGCCGTACTTTAGCCCACGTTGTATCCTTTCAAATTGAGAATAGTAACTATGAACTCTCATGGCTCATCATGCTCTCACCTTGTTTCTTAAAAGCGGTCTCCAAGATGTGTAGGCAGGGAAGGAAAAGTTGTGGGAAAGCATTTTGTTTGTTTGGTTGGCACCAGCCCCTCCCACACCCCCTCTCCGCTCCACCGCCAGCACTACGAAATGAGGCAGTGCATGTTGTTGAAGTGCCCTCTCTCTCTCAATAAAGAGAGAAAAAAATATAAATGCCATCACCTACCTCTCCTCATTGCCCCCCCTTCCCTCTCCTCTTTTTGTAAATTGGCACGGGAACAAAAGGTTCGTTGGGTATACTGGCGTCCCCGTTTGCTGCCGCCGGCCCGGGCCTGACCTCCCCACTAACCGCTGCCTATGCCGCCAGCGCCACAGCAGGTAGGAGCCTCTGCTTCCAAAACCTCCTCGCTTCCCTCCCTTCTCTCTCGTGCACTGTTTTGTTATGTTATGTCTTCTCTCCCCCTTTTCTTTTTGCTGCTGCTTTTGCTGCTGCTCATTCTGCCAAGCCTCGATCGCTTCGTAAAAGTACTAGCACCACGTAAAGCTCTCAGGGGTCGTGCCTGCAGAGGGAGTTTTGGTTCCTCTAGAGTGGGCTCGCAAGTGTGCATATTGTCATTGTGTTTGTGTTGAGGTTTTCCGGTGGGCTTGGGACTTGTTTTAATGCCTTGCTGAAGAAAGACCGAGGAGAAGTCTCTTGGCGATAATTGTTAATGGGAGTGTCTAGCAATGTTCATTTTTTCTCCCCAGCTGTAGTTGGTCACTGCTTGGTTAAAAGGTGTTTCTCATCTCTGTATTATCGTCAGCAATGTGCCCTGTTTCCTCGATTGAGAAGTGATACTACAGGATCATATGAGATTTGGGTAAGGAGAAAGTCAACAGTGGCCATACTACGGGTGCCTTGAGCTGGTACCAACATTTTTCACAGTGAACATTTCCTTGCCAACTGCAGATCTTGCTCTCAAGAAGGAGACTCTGCCAAAATTTACACCCAGTTCGAAACATCTATTCCTAAACCAGTGCTGCTATAGTACTATAACAAAATAAGTCATTCTAGCCCAAGGTATGAATAGCCTTGATTTAAAATCTATTGTTGTGGGACTGTGTAGTACAGTTCACTGGAGAAGGCCTTCAGAGATTACTCAGTTTGTCAGAGGCTAAAGGACTGTTAAAATTAAGTTAATACTTACATAAAATTGAAAGTTGGAAAAAAAAAAAAGCCATCTCAAAGGTCACGTTTGAAGGCATTCTTCTGCCAATTAAGACCTTGTGAAGTGGAGTTCGATGTTTTTGAATTTTGATTGAAGCTGTGGCATTTAATGCATAAGTTTTCATAGTATGTTTGACAGGCTGGATTCATTTGCAATATGAGATAAGGGAAGCAAGTGTGAAAAAAATGTGAATAAAAAAACAAATGCGAGACATGCAAGAACTTTTTTCCACGGTCAGTTTCAGGTATAAAAGAAGCACAAAGGAATGCATAAGTAAAGATGTGGATTGTGGGCTCAGGACCTTACTTAGCCTTTGTGTTACTTAATGGCTATGTTGCTGTGCCACTAAGCAGGAGAACATTTATCTGATTCTTTGCCTAAGCAGCCCTTTTTAGTGAAGACACATCATTAGAAAGTAATGTTATTTTCTCGGAAGATGTAGCTAATCAATTTGCCCCACTACTCAGCCTTGTTGCAGTTCCCGCTGCCACACAGTAGTAATTCTTGTGGATTTTCACTTAAGTTCTTGTTGTAAGTGGTTTTTTTCTTCTCGCAAGTTTCTTAACAGCTTTGCCACAGCCCTTTTGCATCTAAGGTTGTGAGTTTGGAAAATGTTAATAAGAAAATTGGAAACTTGCAATAGTGGTGCGGGGTAGACTAACAGCAGCGGAGCTTATGGTCAGCCTAGATTATGAGCACATGCTTAATTAACAAGGTTAATTTGCAGTGTTCAGTAGCTTTGTCCTGATTAATATATTGAATAACATGTCTTAATTAGCCATGTTCTCTCAGTGTGTTGCTGTCTCCTTCTCTCCTCTTTTCCACTTATCTGTTTTGTGCTTCTCTCGTGCTTGTTCAGAAGGCACATGCATTGAAGAAGTGCCTACATTGCACAGGATACATCACCAAGAGCAAACTGTATTTATTTATAGTTATTTCTGAGATAGACGAGGACAAAGATAGCAAGCCTTCCCGGTTACTATGTTTAGGACAAAGATAGCAAGCCTTCCTGGTTACTATGTTTGAAGTGATAGGCGCAACTTACCATTCTGTCCTCTCGGAACGCTGGAACGAAAAGCTTAAAACAGCTCTGTTGCTAAATTGGGAGTGGCCGAAAAGACAGAAAACATTGCCAGTCTAAGGCCCATGGGCCCATGTGCTGAGCTCCTAAAGGCTCACAAGTTCATAACCATTTATTCAGGGCAGCATTTCTGTGTCTCTTCTAATCTCTTTTGAGTGTGATCAACTGTCCTTGGACCTCCTCTGGTGGCTGTGGAAGTTGTGAACATGTTTTAACTTTACTTTGAACTGTATTAACTGCAGGTATGAAGGTTTTCTTTTTTTTAATTCAGGCTGCATAATTGTAATTTGTGATACTTTCTACGAAATAAAAGTGCATTGCATGTTTCTAGTGCAAGATGAGATGTGTGTTAAAAATGCGCCGTATTTTTACGTGCCTTGGTTCTTTAATTGTATGACATGCTGCGGTAGTCACAAGCAAAGTGATGTGGTGAAGTATGCTCGTTTCGGAAACATTCCAGCCTGCATATTCATCACGCAGCTCTGGATCTGCGACATCTTTCCCGTAGCAGTTGTCTCAGTTGCTTACTTGAAGGGCAACAAAGTGCAACTGATTCAGTTTGGATGTATAATTTTATTGTAATTCATTTGTTGCGAAATTCTCCATGACAGATTAATAATTACAGAAGTTGATTGTTCAAGCTTTGTTTCTAGCAATGTGTACTGTTCATGATTAATTATATTGTACAGGTAAATGGCTTGTCTTTACTGCCTCATGATGCCTGCTAACACTTCTCTCAAGCACTGTACTTATGGTAGCAAATAGGAGCAGTGAGTATTTCTTAATATTCATAGTTTAAACCACTCCAACTGAATTGTGAAACGTGGTAACTTTGGTAGGACATAATTGAATACACGAATGGTAGGACATAATTGAATACACGAACAGCGCAACGGACAGGTCCCTGTCCTTCCTCAGTACTCGTCCATTGCGCTGTTTTTATATTCAACTGAAACGTGGTAGAGAGTGTATTTGTGGTAGTTTGGTTTTGTTGCGCCTACGCTGCAGTAGCAGTGTTTACACTTAGTCTCTGTGATGTGTCGTGCTTCTGCGGTTTTGTCCGGTTGTTTTCTCTGGCTTCTTTTCACGCTGTGTCTTGGAACTCTTCTTTCTCCTCTCCTCTACTCCTTTTCCTTACCACTTCCTCAACCATTTGTAACGCTGCTTGTTTTAAAAACACTGCCGCAGGGGATCAGTTTGACAAGAAGCAGGGTAGGTTGCTCTGTGCTGTCTCCTTGCAGTGACTTGTAGAATTTTCTTCCTTCTTCTTTTGCTCTTGACACACTTCTTGCACCCAGACCTTGATTGCTTTCTGGAAGTGGCTTGGTTTGGTAGTGTGTGTGTGTGTGTGTTTTTTTAGCGGGGGGGGGGGGGGGGATTATTTTAAGATTGTGCTGGCAATGCCGATTCAAAGGGACCCTAAAGAGGAAAATGATTTTTCTTTTTCACAATAACAAGATTCCATGCTTGCTGCATGGAAAAGATGGGGATGGTAATGCTACCTTAAAGTTATCACACCGATTACCGTGGCATCATACATTATGACTGCGTCTGCGAGGGACTACATCATTCATGATTGTTGAAAGTGAACTGCATTGTGCTTTCAGGGGGACAAAGGCTTCACATATGGATTTTTATGAAGTTTTGTTGAGCAAATACCATCAAAATATGAAAAATACGGTTAAAAATGCTCGGTGTCGGAGCCGGAAATTCAGACGCGAAATTTAAAAGTGAAAATTTCAGCTCGAACTTTTTCTTTATGATAAACAAATTTTTGAGTTTACTAATATCAAGAGTTTTCACAGTAAAATTTAGCAATCTAAACGAATTCATTGTTTCACTTTGGTGTCTCTTTGAAAGCAGAGGTTCGTCATTGTTTGCGGAGGCAATCCATTCTTCTGCATTTCTAGGTTGTACTAAACTAATAGATTGAGTGAAGAAGTGTGTGTTAACGAAGTGTTTACGAATTGGACTTTGGTCTCTCGTTATCATTTGGACAACCGAGCATGGTTAATGGGGCGACGTTTGAGAATCCGCACTGCGCTATTTAGCGCAGTGCGGATTCTCAAACGGTGCGGGGGCTAAATTGTGTCAGTTGGCCGACAATAGCACTGAGGCTTTTCTGTAGCATGTTAATAGTTTGTGCTGCTGGAACTTAATGTTAGGCTGAAGAACAGCACACTACCCCGGCTGTGATGTTAAGCACAAATTTGCAATTTGTGTGCCATTGCAGCTGTGACATTTCAGAAGTTACTCGTGTCGAAACGAAAAGGCTTCCGTGGAACAAGTGAGGAGTCATTGTGGAAGAACTTAATGGCATTACAATGCACAGATAGTTCTTAACACATCTCGGTGGCACTGTGCCAGAGAAACTAGTTCCATGCACAATAGAGGGCGATTTGATGGGTTAAATCTTTGTATGCTGTGCTGTCTATTGCTGCTCGCACTGAGGCTTTTCTGTAGCATGTTAATAGTTTGTGCTGTTGGAACTTGATGTTAGGCTGAAGAACAGCCCACTACCCCGGCTGTGATGTTAAGCACAAATTTGCAATTTGTGTGCAATTGCAGCTGTGACATTTCAGAAGTTACTCATGTCGAAACGAAAGGCTTCCGTGGAACAAGTGAGGAGTCATTGTGGAAGAACTTAATGGCATTACAATGCACAGATAGTTCTTAACACATCTCGGTGGCACTGTGCCAGAGAAACTAGTTCCATGCACAATAGAGGGCAATTTGATGGGTTAAATCTTTGTATGCTGTGCTGTCTATTGCCGCTGTCGCTTCTGCTTGTTCTACCGCTTTGTCAGATTTATCGTTCTAGTTTCAGTGCCTTGCCAGCCATCTGTGTTTGTGCGTCTTGTGTACTAAATGACTGATATTTGTGATAACTGTTGGCTGCTTTGAACTCTGTGATACCATCGCATGGGCAGTTGCCAGCTCGCAATGTCAGCCTTGAGGCGTAGGTAAATTGGCACAGTAAATGTTGTTCTGTTTCTGTTTATTAATATTACGTTAATCTAGGCTTGAAAGCTTTTGGTGCAAACCTTGGAGAGTCAGCCCATAGCCAGACATCTTTTGGGGGGAGGCGGGCACTTATTGAAGGCCTTGAAAAACGCCACTTTTTATTATTTGTCCTCATCAAAGCTCCCCCTTCCCCTCCATTCGAATTTTGAGGAGTGGGGAGGGCAGGGCCCCTGGCTATGGAGTGGCTTCGTTTTCCATGTTTCACTTGACATCAACTCTTGTTGTAGCAACAGCCAGCAGGTTTTTTTTTCTTCTTATCTTTGCACACACGCTAAATTGACCGTCGTGTGCAAGCCAATAGTTGACACACGCATCCAACGGCTGCGCAGGGCTGCCTCTGGGTGGCTTTGCCCTGTCGCCGTCGGCTCCGTCTGCGGCGACCGCTCTAGGCATGGCCGGTATCCGGCTCCCGGGACAGGCCACCACCAGCAGCGTGCTTCTGGTGTCCAACCTCAATGAACAGGTACGCTCTGATGCTTTTCTCTTTCTGTGATGTCCTTTCCTTCTGTTTTCTATGAATCATCTTCACAGTGTGGCAGTGGGCGTCACTCTGCCGCCCCGCTTGGGCTGTCCTCGCCTCCTTCCTGCATGCTGCATTGCTTTTCCCTTTATTTTGGTTCCGTCTGATTGCCTCTTTAGCTGCAATGAATAAGAAGAAAGTGAAGTAGCTTTTTGCAGTGTTGCTGAATGCCGGGCAGTTGTATTGTTCTTCTGGAAACTAACATTGCGTCACTGTAATGGTAGCATTGTAATATTCGTCTTGCCGGAGCCTAAAAACAGCAGAGCACATTGCAGTTGTAAACCGTAGAGCAGCTCTCGCAGCAAGCTCCAAAGGCAACCAAGAGAGCGAATAGTGGCATAGCCAGGAGAGGTCGTTTGAGGGGTTCAACCCCCTGAGACCATGTTTTTACGTTTTGTACGTGAATTTATGTACACAAACACGTGCACTGGATACGTACACGAAGTCCCCCTTGTCCCACAGAAAAAAAAAAAAATCAAGTATACTGTTTTTCTATAAACTCCTCTGCACTTTTACAAATGAAAAGCTTTGCCTTGTCTCTGCCTATAATGTATTTCTGAACGCACTCATAAATATATTACCAACACGTTCCTCTTGTCAAATACTGCAAAACTAAATGTACCTCCTCCTTCAAACTTAACTTCTGGCCGTTTTCTTTACTTGCTGTTTTTCTTCTTCTCCTGGGCACTTTTTTTTTGTGCCATTTTTTGCTCATGAGCCAACTTTGCAATTTCTTTCTCTTTGCTTAGCGCGATTTCACATTCTCCTGCTTTTTTTTTTTTGTTATTCACGTTTCCAGTTTCAGCGAACGTCTTAATTGGCATTTTTTCTTTCTCGCTATTTGGTTTCTTAGTTTGTGTATTAGTTGCATAGAATAAGATTTTAGCTTGCCCATACGCTTTTCACGTTACCATGTTACCGATACCAGATCTGCTCATGCTCACCTTTCTGGAACATAAACTACTCAGCCGAATACCCTTTACGTTTGGGGCCATGCCTCGTGAATTTTGTGGCTCACAGTCAGATCGGCTTTACCGAGACTGCAGCTGTTGAGTCAAAACTGATACCATGTTTGAACAGGGTTAACGTGATGGGATGGATAGGTGGTCATCTGGTGGGGCTGAGATTAACCAGACAAGCATAAAAGTTATTGCAGAAACATGGCGCATTCTGCTTCTCTGTACTGAATTTCTTGCTTTGGCGTAATTTCGAATCGGTTGCATTTTTAATATTTTTTCTTTAACAATACTTAGTGAAAAATAAACGTGTAAAATATTATTGAGAACAAACGTGCATAGTTGTAGTCTCAAGAAGCGTCGCAAGATTTCATTACCATTGGCCGGTAACCTAGTTAGAAGAATCATCACTTAGTGGTTTACACAAACGTAATTGAATATGTTGATGTATGGGGAGCTAGAACAAGAGCTTATGCTAATGCAGTTTGGTGTTCCGGTAACACGGTAATGTTAAGGATCACTTGAACACTTATATCGATTTATTCGTATTAGGAGCTGGAATTTTGCCCGAACATGTATTTCAATAGTGCGGTAATATTGAAAAGTATACAGACATATAACACTAATATGTGTGCATTTACATATATGGTGAGCTAAAACTGTATAAACCTGCGTTTTGACATCATGATAAACTCAGTTCGGTACTCCTGGAGTATGGCAACGATAAATGTTTTCTGGACATGTAAGTAACCATGTGCATTTGCTTACATAAAAAATGCTTATGTATAAAAAGCTAAAACTGCTAAAACATGCATTACGGTAACATGGTAAAGGCAATTCAGTGCACGTGTAAAATGTCGGCGTGTAAAAGCATGTTGGCAAGTTAGAAGCCTCTGTTAGCAGCCAAATTGGGGTGCCGGTTGTTTTGTGGCACTAAGCTGGAGCAGCCAAACACGTCGTTGAAGTAAATGAATTTATTGTTGTTGCTGGTGCCTATGTCGCGTGCCTTCCTTTGCGTTATAGCCGTTATAGTGATACTTTGTAATGGGGAGTAGCTAGTTGCTAAAAATAAACGCGAGTAAGCCAGATGACAGTTATTGTGTTACGTGGCAGAAATTTTGCGAGGGCACTCTAAAGGTCCCAGCGTGGCATGCTGCGTAGGTTATGGTTCTGTCTCAGTTGCATTTTTGCTAAGCCTTTGTAAAGATGGTAGTATTGGAGCCACATGCAGGTGAGGGAGCAATGCTGACTGGGTTGAGTTCCCGCTTAAGCGAACTTTGGTCGTTTAGAGAGGGCAGATTCAGAATTTAGTAGAATTTGTGCAAGCTAGAGGCCGGGCAGAAATCTTGCATCATTCGTGCGACAGACATGTTTGTGTATTAGTTGAATGCACGGGGACATTACTGGGGCTGTCAGGAAGAATCGTATCACACAATCAACACCAGTAATCTCTCCGGGCCTATAACGTATTGTTACATGTCACTGGATCACTTATTACAATCCGTAGTGGTGTACTAGATTAAGCTGTGTGAAATACTGTATAAGTTATGGCTGCACCAGTCATTTCTCCTTCGTTGCATCGTGTCTTTTTCTGCAGTCAGTTTTCGCAGCAGTTGTTCATGACTGTACGGTGTAGAGAGTAGCATGTCGAGGGTGTTGCTTGAACTACCATTGAAACGTGAAGAAAAATTACAGTTGTAAAAACTGTGTTATCCTGTGCTAAGAGCACCTTACTCTGTCATAGTTAGCGTGCAGTCACATAGTGTTGTGTATAGTTACAACAGTTGTCACGCACTGTTATTATATGAGGAACCATAGCAAAAACACAACAATGGTATTAGCGCTTACTGGCGTACCAAATGAAAACGGCGCGTCGCTTTTATTGAGCCAGCACTTCTGTCTGTCTTGTTCAAAGCTCTTTGGTCTTGCCAGGATTTTAGTTTGCAATGCACTGCCCCCTCACTTCTAGCTGTCTTTGCTGCACGCCGTGCTATCTAGTGTCATTTCAGCTTTTTCTCAAACCGCATGCTTTGAAATTACCGCGGCACTCTCGCTGCCCGCCACTCACCGCTGCCGCCACCGCTTCTGCTGCTGTTTGCCATTAATTGTTTGCCATTAATTGTTTGCCTCGGTTTTCAGTTTTTCTCTCCTTTTTTCTTTTTGTGCTAAGCGTTTGTTTTGTTATTATGCCTTTTTCCAGTTTTTGACCTGTTGTTTTGTTTCTTTTTTTTCTCTCTCACCTACCTTTCTTTCTGATCTCCTCATTTTTAAACAATACTGTCTCTCTGCTGTCTCTTTCTCACTGTTTCTCTCTGTCTGTCTCTTTCTCTATCTCTTGACCCCAACTCCTTTTTACCCCTTTCCACTCTGTCCTCTACCTCTTTTTCTGCCTGCACCACCCTCCCTCTGGCCACTACCCCTTCCTGCAATTAACAAACGTAATGCTTGATATGAACTCCACTTTTCTGACATCCACATATTTACCCTTATTTTGCATGCTGACCTTTCCGCCTTGTGCTTTTGCAATGCACGCACCAATTCTAAATCTCTTCGTACCTGAACCTGTCTTTGCATTTGGTAATTATTTTTTGCCTTTTCTTTTGTTACTGCTTCTGTTTTTTTTTTTTTTCAATCATTTCTTGCATTTTTTTTCTGTGCCATCTCAACTGCCTGCTTTCTCGTTTCCTTTTTTGTGTAATGCCTTTTTTCACTTCCTTACGGTTCTTTTTTTCATTTACTGCTATTTTCTGTAAAAACTCGCTGAAAACATTCCTTTGCCTTTATTTCGTTTTCTTTCTTTTTTTTTTTTCTTCAAACAATCTTGCACAAAACCCGATTCCCCTGCCCATGCCGCTCACATCACTAACCTGCCCCTCCTCGTCGATATCATGCACTTTATTTCCTTCACTCTTTTTCCCGTCTCTGAACTCCCTCTCTGCTTCTCTCTCTTCTCTCCTGTACTTAAAAAAACAACAACAAATACTCTCGAAAACTGCCCGCACAAACCATGGCTGCTGTTGCCGCCGCCTTCCTGTGGCTGTCGTGCGGTCTCTCTTTGTGGTGGGGAACACTGGCCCGACCACCACCACCGACCGACCACCAACCAACCACCAACCCTTCCTTCGTCCGTGGGTGCCACCTCTGGCCGCACACTACCCTCTTCTGCTGGGCCTTCTCATATGACCTCCTCATCCTCATCCTACGTTTTTAGATGGTCACGCCCGACGCTCTCTTTACCCTTTTTGGTACGTTTTTCTCGTTTTTTATTTCATTCTCTGCGCTCTTTTTTTTTCACTGCCTCCTTTTTTTTCCCCTTTGAACTGTTGTGTGTATTGTTTCTCTCTTAATTTTCTTTTAAGTTTTTGCACATTCATATTTCTCTGTCTCTCGCCCTTTTGTGCATATTTTACGATTCCATTGAGAGTTCTGGCTGGTGTGTGTGGTACGTTATTGGCGTTCTGGTTTTTGTGGAATACCTGAACAGAAGAAAGCACAAACTTTGCTCATAGTTGTGGTTTAAATCTCTTCCGGTGGTGGCTGCTTTGAGACTGCAACATATTGCCCAGTGCTCTTGGACAGTGCTTTTTATGCATAATGGAGAGCATTGGCTATCTCCGCTATGAAGCCTCACATAGGTCAGCATTTTAAGATGCTAGAAGCTCTCACGTCAACATTTCAAATATTAGCTGTGAACAGTGTTCTCGCTAGTGTTTCACGAGCCTGAGCTCATTAGCGTACTAGGAGATCCTCCCATTGTCTCCAATATCTCGGCAGTCTCAAAGCACTGCAACAGCACGTCAATGTCGTCTTGCTAAAACATCGCATCTTCCAATAGTCTTTCAAAACGAATTAGTAATCTACCACATTTTTTTTTTATGTAGCAAGAGTTTGTTCCTATATCTTTACTACCTAAAGTCAACCGTTACATTGCGATTGAATATCCAAATTTTGTGTTGTTCTTCCCGGACACAATAAAAAAATCTCCCCTTGCACTACAATCGTGGTCACGTTACAATCGTGTAAATACGGTGTAGTCTGAGTGTGGCATTGCTACAATCGTGGTCACGTTACAATCGTGTAAATACGGTGTAGTCTGAGTGTGGCATTGCTAGATGTCACCACCTTTCTGCTCGCTGCTTCAGTCTTGGTATTCCACTGCAATGAACGCCATAATAGGCTAGAACTCTCCATGTTGGACTGACTTAACCCACACACACACACACTTGCACGCACACACATGTTCCTGTGGCTGGTTTGCGTAGGATATCTTTTGTTCTGGATAGAGACTGTTCTTTTTTACTTCACGAGTAGCTTATTTCGTCTCGTTCTTTACTGTTTTTTTTTTTTCATTTTTATTACTTCAGGTTAAAAGGACCCTGCAGCGCTTCTTTGCTGTTCTCGTCCTGGACGTAGTGTTACAAAGCTATGAATTAACCTGAACCCTGAATTAACCTGAACTATTCGTTTTTGTTGTTGCAACGCATATAACCAGTAAATGCTAATGTGCACTCAAACCTCGATATAATGAACCCGGATGTAACGAAATATTGGTTATAACAACGTAAATGAAGAGCACTCTTGTAGCGTGCGTAGCGATAATAATATACCTTTATAACGAATATTTGGATATAACAAACCTATTCTTGTGTGAAATGCAACTTAGTCACAGTGAGGCTTGAGTGCAGAACTGCAGCACCAAGTCGCAGAAGAGCATTGAAGTTGCACAGTGGAAGTACATGTGCGACAGTTAGAAAGATTGTAGTTTCTTGGCGGTCGTATGCAGACCAAGGCCTCAGGATGTCGGATGGTGTGTTTGGTCTGATTTCGGATGTCACTTTTCACATAGTGGTTGTAAGGAACTTCCAAGAGACCGGCATTTCAAAATGAATGGGGGTTGAGGCTTTGCTACATTTGTTACCATGATTAGAACAGTCTGCATTAATTAAAATGGGGACAAAATGTAATACGGTACTTTTCTTTGTACTGATCGAGATATCTTTTGAGCGCAGACAGTACTGTCAGCGTCATGAAGCACGAACGACAAGCATTGATAATGGTACAGTGATGCGCTCTGGTTTTGCAGCACAGCGGCTGTCGGGCTGGATGGCGCACACTGCACCACGTTTAATGCTTGCTGTTCGACTTTAATTTAAGGATAACTCATCTTTAAGCAATGGTCATAGTCCCTCATAAGATCTGTGCCATGCGCATGAAATTAGTGCATCACGATTTTGCTCTTTGTACGGCCTGACGAGGTTTCCCTGAAGTGTTGCAGGGCCCTCTAGCTTACTAATTTTTTTTTCAATGTGTGCGTGTGCGCTTGTGTGTGCTGTCTACCTGACTTGTGTTATAGTTTCTGCTACTGGTTGCAGATGGAAAAACTTTACTTTCTTCAGTTTCATGCTGTTGCTTTTTTGTATTTACTTTAGTCTGCAGGTGGCATGTTTGTGTTCGGTTCAGAGGGGCTTCTTGTTATGGCCAGAAGCTTTTTTTGATTTTTTTTCCCCACATGTGTGCTCATCTGTGCCGGCCACAAAGGCTGCCGTGTCTTTTGTTGCAGTTCTTGCATGTTCTGGAAAGAGAGGCAGGAGAAGTCATTATTGTAGTGACATTTGCAGTGACGAAACAGTTATTTACAGTTGTATCGGGATCTTGTGGTGAATGTTTCGTGTGGGGGCACAAAACCAAGGAGAGAGCAGCATGTTTAGGTTTAGTTCAGAAACAAGTTTCTTATATTCAGATGTGATCTTAGGGTTAGCTTAGGTTAGGTCATCAAGACACGGCTGTGTGAAAGTTTGCAACGTTCTTGTGAGCGGAAACGCCCTGAAATTTTCACTTATGTTGTGCCGTTATCACATACCACACTTGAGCCGGTAAATATATATATTTGTGATATATATATATTTGTGATATATAGTTGCGCCATTTGGTAGGCAGCATATCGTAACTTGTCCATTTATCAATCCTGTCTTGCTTACGGAACCATGTAGTTAGTGTCCTGTTGACCTAGTTATGGCGAACACTGTACATTGAAAGCTCGTTAGTATATCGTGACTTGTCCATTTATCAGTCCTGTCGTGTTTACGGAACCATGTAGTTAGTGTTCTGGTAACCTAGTTTGGGTGAACACTGTACAGTGAAAGCTCGTTATTTGATTTCATGGGACCGGAACGAATGGCTAAATAAACCGAATTACAAATTATTGAAAGTTTGAAAAAAACAATGAGCAAATGCCTGTTACTTCGGTACATTTTCTTGATGAATACGGGAATGCTTTACTTAGCATAAAAGTAGTTTAAAAGCCATAGTCTTCGCCACTCGTTTCTCTGTTCAAAATGTGACCGCTGCTCAAGACTTCCCCATCTAAACTCATTTGAAATGTGCTAACCTTAAATTAACCAGAAACGTCGTTGCCACATAGTTAGCGCCAACGTCGATGGTGATGCAGCTTTCACTGCCTCGTTTCAGCCATCCGCGAATGCCGTTTGCGCTCCTTTGTGCCACACCTTGGTGGCGCTTCTATGGAGAATCGCCTAAAGTAACTGGGTGGTGGCCATACATGACCAAATCAACGAAAGCCTGGTGGCATTATACAAAGCATGTTTGGTGGGACCAGAATGCGCATGCAAATTATCCAGCTTCCCAAATTCACGATTGTCAAATCAACAAGGTTTTGCTGTACTGTGTGTCTACACTCTAGCATGATGCTCAAGAATGAATCAGATTTTCCTTCTGTGCAATGTGTCTTGTATGTTGCTCTTTTCAGCTGCTCTTATCTTTTTGGCTTGTGCTTTTGCACTAACCACTGCTGTAAGTCGCAGGCAGTGCAGGTGAAGGGCACAGTACTTGCACAGTTGAACTTTGCTGAAGTTCTTTTTATTTTGCTACTAACCATCAAAAACCTTGCAGACGTTATGAAAGTTGCGCTGTCAATATTTTGGTCATGCCTATTGAGAAATTCATGATCGGTTGTTTCTGCAAGTCAATTTCTAATTCCTTAAAAGCATCTAGATCTATCAGTGTGAACTGACAGCACGGTCCCCTGCTTTGTTTCAAGCGAATAAGTTTGGGGGGGGCTCGGCTACATTGAATATTTTGAAATTTTTTGATGAACTTTGACTAAATTTGGCGAGTTTACGCATATTTGTGGGCTGATAGCCTATATGGTGCTTTTTTTTTTTAATACAGTATACAGTTAATTACCAATATGCAGCTGTTTTCAAGTACAGTATGTAGTTTATAAAAAATTAAAATGTTTCACGTGCCTTTTAGGAAGCAAGATTTTTCCTGAACTGAGAGAGTTACAAATTCAATCAGCATATCACACTGATCTGGAATTGTAACTGTAATCGCTACATTATAATAGGAATAGTTGTTTTAAACCTGTTTTGAACTAAAGTTACGTTCTATTGAACACTTGGAAGCGAGTCAACACCTAGCTGGGATTTCACTGAAACCGTATCACGCGAGCAAGCTGGACAGGTACCTAGTTTTCAGCGTTAATGCATCATAAACATGTTTGTTAGTGATAGCACTGTCATATGCAATTCCATGCATATTCAGTATAGTTGTGATATGATTGAGCATATGTTTTTATAATGGCCGCAAGTCATGTGTTATCATTGTTGGCTGCCATAACTTTATAGCAATAACAGTAGGGCTGTGTTTTTTATGGAGGCGAGACGGTAGAGTCTCATGTAAAATGTGAGTGTTTCAAAGAACGCAAGATGGTCGAAAATTTCCTGAGCACTCCACTACAGCATGTCTCGTGATTATTTCTGGTCTTGGCACTTCAAAGTACCAGATACTGTTACTAATATTATTATTAGGATTGCACTTTTGAAAATGGAAAAGGCAAGCTGTGTAAAACAACAATTGAAATGCCCGTGTTTCGGCATGTTTCACTTGGTCTTTGCCTTTGAAAGTGCAGTTCAACCAGGATGCAGTTCCTGCTTGCCTTAGTTGCAGTACTCTTGTAGCAGATTTATGAATTTGAATGCTGTATGATAAGGTTCCTAGCTCGTGAAATTCTTGGGCTTGTGTGCTAGATTTATGCATTCCAAAGGGCTTCTGGAAAGGTTACCTTGTAAAGATATTCATCCAGTTTTCGAAATAATTGAGATGAGCCTAGTTTTTGGGTGGAGTTAAATGTACTATGCATCAGTTGCTGCACGACTTCAGCACTTTAAACCCCCACTTATCATATTCTTAGATCTTCGCTACATAGCTGGCAGCATTGAGTAAAAATGGCGCGGACACTGACCACAAGAAAGTAAACATGTATTGGCATTTTAGCGTCTAGAATGGGAGCTATGTAAATTTGGTGCATTGCATAGTGCAGCTGGATGTTGTTCTGTTGTGGTCGGCGTCCTTGTCTTTTTGCTTGATGATCCTTCCAGACCAGGCAGGCATCTGTTGAAGCCTTGATTGCTTAGGTGACAGTGCTTTCTCGGTGATCAAAGGTAGTACAAAGTGTAGGGTCAACTTTTCGGCATGAAGAATGTACATGGGCAGCATCACGGCCGGAACGGGGCAGTCTTTGTACTGCCGTAGCTGAGGAGTGAGGCAGAAAAAATATTTTCAGATGTGTCGACAGACATTAGAGCCTGAAGTGCTTGCCTTTTTCATTAAGTGCTTTAGCATGTGTGCCTGCCAATGCTTTTTTTTTTTACCATTGCAACTTCTTTCTAAACCTTTGAATAGGTGTCTACGGCGACGTGATCAGAGTGAAGATCCTCTTCAACAAGAAAGATAGTGCCCTTATTCAGATGGCTGAGCCACAGCAAGCACAGCTTGGTAAGAAAACTTCTTTATTACTTTCATTCGTTTTACATCGCAGGGAGCTTTAATGGCATTGGGGGACCATGTGTGATGCCTTGGAAAGATGTTTTACATTGCCATGTTATTTCGTCTGTTTGCCAGTGTTGCACCAGATTTTATGAAGGTGAAGCAGTTGCAGCCAACTAGAGTTGAAGTGACGACAAAGCCTTCCTGATTTTGTGGGATGAGAGTAAATCTTGCGAGATCTGCCTTCTTACTAGGGAGGCATCGTAGATGCATTCTTTAGTGTTGATTCAGTGGTGTGTAGCAATCACACTGAATGCATCAGACTTGTTTAGTGTGTAATGTGGCCCTGTGAAGAAACGCTTAGTAGTGGGGCCTTGTAATATTTTTTTTTTGTTACTTGTTTGGTCTTGCTGCTTGGCAAGACCACAGAACGTCCTATTAGTAATCGTGACTTCCCTGGCAGCCTTGAGCCACCTGGACAAGATCAAGGTGTACGGCAAGCCCATCCGGGTGACGCCCTCCAAGCACCACATCGTCCAGTTGCCCAAGGACGGTCAGCCGGACGCCGGTCTCACCAAGGACTACATCAACTCTCCCCTGCACCGCTTTAAGAAGCCTGGCTCCAAGAACTACCAGAACATCTACCCACCCTCGGCCACCCTTCACCTCTCCAACATCCCGTGAGTACATGCGCAGTTTCCTTCTCTCTTTATCGTAAAGTACCACGTCAGCACCCTGTCTCTTTTTTGGTAGATTGGAAATGTGTGCCCACTTCCCCCTCCAGCCGTTTTCACTGTCTCGTTCACTGTTTCTATCCGTCCAACGAGGGCAAATAAAAACAGAATGCATGCGTATTCTATAGAGCATTTCATTAGAAGCAAGGGTGTGCATTTTTCTCCGAGGCTCTTCTGCGACCGCCTTTAATTTTGATCCACAGTCAAGCAGGGCTCAAAGTTTTGTCGTATTATCTCAGCACTGTAGCTTGTTCGGGATTTTATGGTAAAGTGAGGTTTTGAAGTTTGACGTCTAGTAGCTGCCGTTATGACGCACAGATTTTGATCATTTCTTTTTCGCAGTAGTCTTGGTGTTTAGCCTTACACTCACTCCAGCGCTGCAAAATGTAGACAAAAAAGGCATTGCAGGACCACTTCAATGACGACTAAACACACTGTTGCACTTCTTTTAGCGAGTACATTGTGCGTTGAATTTGGATTTACCTTTTCGAGGCATATGTTAAATGCTTTTTGCTTCTGTCTCGTTTCTTTGGGTGTTCTGGTTGATTTTCAGCATCACAGCATTGTAGCTGCAACCGTCGAGTGATGGCCTACCAAGCTTGTTTGGAAAGCTGCTGAAGTACACGCACAATCGCTGCACTAGCATTGTAAACAAAATGTGACTAGTTTTGGCACAATAATAATTCATTGTGTTTTTGCATTAAAGTGGAAAAAAAAACGCATAGAAGAGCTACACGGTACATAGCTGAACCTTTTTTTTTTTCATTTTTGGGAAAGAACATCGATCTACTGTAATAACGTGGCTGGGATGGTGAAAAACGCAGCAGTCGGATAGGTCAAGATGAAACTCTTTATTGGGCGCACTCGTCCCCAGAAAACAAAGTAACACTCGCTATATAGGCCAGTACAAAGAACAATAGGGCAGTAGCTGCTAGCAAGGGTGGTGGCCTTCAGTGACCTGATCGTAGGCGGTATACGCCAGCTCAAACATTCCAGTGACATTGCTGGCAATTATAGATTTTAATGTCAATGGCTTGGGTCGCACTTTCGGTCTTTTCAGAAAATTTTGAAAACTGTCATTAAAGTTCCCATACAATCTGGTGTGGCCTAGGCTGAGTGATAGTAATTTTCTTGTTGGTGAAGCCTGACCGTGTCAAATATCAAGAAATGGGAGTGCATGGCACTATGCAAGGGGTGTGTACTACGCCTCAATATATCCCCCTTGTCATTTTTACAGTGTGCAATGAAGCAACACAATCCTGAGGAAGCGAAAACTTGCGATTCTTTGCGACGTGTCTCTCCGGAATACTATGGTTTCGTTTCCTGCCCGACGTTTCGACATAAGAGCTGTGCATATTTATGTTGTTTATGCAATAGTAATTTCACCTAAAATGGGGTAGTTGGAGTACAGAGGTTGGTTTTTGCTCAAATAACATTCCAGCATCTCGGGTTATGTGCCTGCAGCAACGCAGACTCTGCAACAGCATTACTGACGAAATGTGACTTCTCTGTTCAACTGTTCATTTGTCGAGAATCCACTGATCAAAATTTTGCAGAACCCTTAACATTAGTCAAAAATCCACTGGCCGAAATTCACTGGCCAAACCCTTCACCTCTGTGCACTGTAGCCTATAGCCTATCCCTGGCCGGGTTGAACCTCGTTAAGGGGAGATGCTACTCGAAAAACGATTTTCTTTAATAAGTCTGAATTTAACACAAATTGGCATGCTAATAGAGTTTTTTCTCCTCTTTTCAAATATGTAATTTATTTTCATGTAGATTGCTTGGTTTTCTTTCTGCAGGTCAGATACTGCAAAATTATGGCCATTGTTATGCAACAATTCTGACCTATAAAAATTTGAGATAAAGCATGCAGATATAGCTGACTATGATCCTTTGGAACTGTAGAGTGCAAAAAACTATATAAATTTTGTGTGTAAAAAGGTGAAATACAATAATAAAATAGAAAAATTTACTATGGCTCTAGTTGCCAAGGGCTTTCAATGTTATGTAATTTTTGAAAAACATATCAAGCAGCACTGACAATCTGAATAGATACTTGCACTCTATGGGCCTTCATCATGCTATGTGCAAAATTTCATAGAGGTATGACAATTCTAAGTATACGAACTAGCGTGTATATGAAGCACAGATTACACAAAACTGCAAAAGGAGAAAAACGCATTTGAAAGTTTGAAACCTTTTTTTTTATCACAGAGTTGTTAGAAATGCATAATCTTTGGCCATAATGTTCAACAGAACTTTGAAAAGCACTGCAAGTTACTAGAACTGTCCTGCAGCATAGGTTGTGCCCTCACGGTCCTTGCGAGCACTCTCTTCTAGCCGTGCCCTTTTCACTCCACGGCGACGGTTGGCCCTTGCTTCTGCTGTCATACGCTCGGACATTCTCTTGATGCGCTTCGCATCGCGGGAATCACTGAAAGTAACTAGATCTCTAGATGGCAGTATGTTGAGCTCTTCCAGGATGTGCTCGAAAGTAGCATGACCCTTGTTGAACCACAGGATTGCCATAGCTGCGGCAGTCTCGACAACCGTTCGGGAGACAAACTTAGTCTTGGGGCAAAGTAGCCAAATTCTGCTGTTCAGAGATTCCGATGCGTTCTGGGTTTTCCCTTTGATGCATCGAGCAAGGAGCTTCTCATCCGTTAGCCGCTTATAAAAGGGCAAAACAGCCAATCCCTGTGCTTTTGTCAGGAGAGGTGTGTGGCATGGTGCAGATTCACCAAGTGCTTCAGCGCGTTGATGCAAAGTAGCCAAATTTTGCTGTTCAGGGATTCCGATGCGTTCTGGGTTTTCCCTTTGATGCATCGAGCAAGGAGCTTCTCATCCGTTAGCCGCTTATAAATGGGCAAAACAGCCAGTCCCTGTGCTTTTGTCAGGAGAGGTGTGTGGCATGGTGCAGATTCACCAAGTGCTTCAGCGCGTTGATGTTTGCACCACGACTCTGTTCCTGCAGGGCAAAACTTGTGGCTGCCAGCATTGTCAGTAGAGCATGAGTGGAAGTACGAAGCCCATACTGCAGTGTACATATCCCGTACACTCCCCCTGTTGCTTGTTATGGCAATCTGATAGTATGTTTGGAGCTTCTGAATGGCTCGCTCTTTCATTTTCTGCCCTAGTGGTAATGGCACATGCAGCTGCCGTAGCGCGGTGCCAAGTCTCTTGGCCACATGATTAGTGCAGTCTTCTTTTTCTATATTGACAGCACCATAGACGTTTGACTCTGCAACTGCACTATATGCTTTGCTGCCACTGTCACTCAAGAATGTCATGAAATGCAGTGGGGTGTCATAAGTCAATGTTCTCTGCCAAATGCGCATTGCAGCCTCCGTTTCCATGGCATGGGAGGAACAGTCAGCATTTTTTTCACAGACTGGGCCATGGAATGCCTGCCACACTTCCTCGTCTGGGCCCATATCCCTGTGCCTACTGCATGTCAGGCAGTAATTTGATATGACCTCGAAGTCTAAGCAGAGGCCAGTATCTAAGGAGATAACTGTCCCGTTGTGGCTTTTGTGGCCCCTCTTCTGCCAAGTGCCGTCGAACATAACAGCCACATCAGTTTCGCCTGCTACTTCTTTCGTCAACTCTCTGGATCGGCGCAAGTTTTCACTCACAGCTGCCATGGCAGCGGTGTGCACCTTCTTTGCTATCGAAAAATAATCCTCGGTGGTGCATTGGCTTTGGGAGTCCAATAATGGAGCAAAATCTCGACAATTGCTCATGCCCAATGCCGACAGCGCGTGCAGCCACCACCGCCTTCACATTTACAGCGAAACTGTCTCGGGAGCTACCACTGTCGTACCGTTGGCTCACTCAGCTGCTGCCGTCCGCTGTTTTACGCAGTGATGTATAGGAGCACGAAAAAACAATCGCTGAGCATTCGCTGTTTTCGCAATGAAGTTCGCGGAGCGACGAAACTCCCTTGCGGTTTTCTGCCGGCTCCCGAACGGGAAGTTTTTGAATACCGCAAGCAGGGCATGCCGCACCTGCCACAAGTGCCGTCAGCAAGAAGGGTGTCGCACAACACTGTCGTTGTACAAACCTCATCGCGCTGTCTTTCGTCTTTTTCGAAGAAGGCGAGCTTCTTTTCCGAAGCACTGACGAAAGAAAGCGCCGCGTCAATCCCTTCATCACAGCCACTGTCGCTCGCGCACTCGTCGATGCCTGGCCGTCAGGCCTAGCACACGTAGGCGCGTTCTCGTTCGTCGCCGTCGTTCGGGGCGCTTTACACGCCGCCTTCCCTTGAACTTGTGCTTCGTTCCAAACTTCTGCGGTCTCAAGTTCCAATTTTTCAGGCTTGTCATCGCAGAAATATGCGTAGACGCGCAGAAAAGCAGACGGACCAAATGCCGATGGCCGCCACCAACACAGCTGACAATGACTCGGTAGCCAATGGCGATGCGGCTTAGGGTGCCGCGCGTTTCAAACCGCTCAAACCACGTGATAAAAAGGCCTCGTTTTTTATTTTATTATTTTTTTTTTGCCCACGTACGAAACTGGCGGTCGTCGGAGCTGTAAGAAGAAGGCCGGACGCAACTTTCCGAACCGATCGCGATGGCGGGCGACACTGCTACGGGGAGCAGCGCGCAGTCAAAGATGGCCAATATCGTGCAAATTCACGAAATTTTGAGCCACCGCGATGCCTTCATACACATATTTTTTGCATTTTGTGGTTCGAATTTAGTTTTGAAATTTTCACAGATGAAAGAAGGTTTGAAGATTACAATGCAATAAAAATCAGAAATACGAGAAATTTCGCTAAAAAACGTGATTTTTCGACTCGTATCTCCCCTTAAGCAAAACTTCGCTGGTTTAAAATGGTCACATAACAATCAGTACCTCTCTCCTTGTTTTTTTTTTGTGTGTTGTGTTGTAAAGCTACACCACAAAACAATTGTCATATTTTGCTATACGGTCGAATTGTTTCATTCAGTAATCAGTGGGTCCAAGACCAGATTTAAGATTACATCATCTATCGTGGGCTTGTGTTGACATGTTCCCTCTTTTTCCATATTTGCTCTGCAGGCCGACAGTATCGGAAGAGCAGATCCGGGAGGCGTTCACACAAACCGGTGGCACAGTGGTGGCCTTCAAGTTCTTCCCGTACGTCGTCTCCACCCACTTTCTCATTATATATTTTTAATTTAGGAAGTAAAGGTTAGCATTTAATCAAGATATATGCACACCTTATAAAGGAGAAGATGGATTATTAGTCTAGTGTCTTCACTGTTTAGCATGCGGTATGCTATTTAGCTATTATGTAATTGCTGTTCTCATTGTGACTACATGTGCCTCAGTTAATCTTGCTGCTCTGTTCAGTTGCTGCATTTTGCTTTATTGTCACTTCTTAAAGAGGCTGTCTAACACAAATTAAGCATGCAGCTTTGATTGCTTCTAAAATTGTGGAATGTACCATTATCATTGCATGAGTAACAGCAAGAAAAATGGAGCTGTTAGAGTATTGTTTCAATGGAAAACCATAATAGATTTGGACTAAAGTGACTCGCCACAGCTATTTGTGATTGGAAGCAACTCATCATGTAAGAGTGATGACATCGGGTGTTTTGATAGGTTTGACACAAGTCGCTTGTAATATTCATATGGTTCCAGCACGGATTCACTGTTTTACGCTAAAAACTAAAAAAATATCTCTCTGTAAAAACTTTCCCAGGTGCCAGAGTATTTCACTTGTTAAATAGGAAATTTCGAAACCTAGGATGCACTGCAAAACAGCCCCCACAGGAAGAGTTGTCGGGAATGTCTCTTTAAAAGTTGTTCTGGGATTAGAACCAGCGTTTGACAACAACGGGAAAAGTGAAAAATGCTAAGGATGATGATTTCACTCATCTGCAAGTCTAGTAGCTGCCGTTATGATGCACGGATTTTGATCTTTTTTTTTTTTTTTTCGCAGTAGTTTTGGTGTTAAGCACTACACTCACTCCAGCACTGCAGAATGCGGACAAAAAAGGCATTGCAGGACCACTTTAACTGTCAACTAAACACTCTATTGCACTTCTTTTAGCGAGTACAGTGTGCTGTTGAATTGTGATCTACCTTTTCGAGGCATTTGCTTTTGTCTCATTTCTCATGCATGCGAGAAATAGACACAGCGCAATTTTAGTGATATAAAATTCGGGTATATAAATTCATCAAGTTCACCAGATGAATATTATTGTGTTGAATGGGCCAAAATTTGGGTGTTCTGGTTGCTTTTCAGCATCACAGCATTGTGCTGCAACAGTTGAGTGATGGCCTACAAAGCCTATGATTACTACTGCTACTTGATTACTACTGCTACTTAGTAATGGTGAACAATGTTGTGTGGTCTTTCCAGGAAAGACAGAAAGATGGCTCTTATCCAAATGGGCTCTGTTGAAGAATCCGTCACGGCACTCATCGTAAGCTTTATTTTCTATTTCATGCCATAATCCAATGCGGTACTGATTGGTATTATGCTTGTGCATGTCAATTTTTCACTGTGTTGAAAACCAGAAACGTAGCTGATAGTTGTAACACAGTGTGTAACAGGGTCCTCTGTTGCGTGCGTGTGTGAGGACGGAGGGGCAAAGGTTTACCTCCTTTCCTGTCCTTTTAACTGCCTCTCACTGATTACCTTGTGATCAGCTTGCAGTGCAAAGACTACGTGTCAGAGGGATGCCTTACCCCCATGTGCACACTTGTGGGCATCTTTTTTATTGCTATCAAAGTTTTTTTTTTTCCCTCGTGTTTCACACAGCCTTCTGTTTGGTGTTCTTCACTTCCAGAAAATGCACAACTACCAGCTCAGTGATTCTAATCACCTACGGGTCTCCTTCTCCAAGTCGACAATCTGAGCTCACCGAGCCCAGAGTCCTTCCTCCTTCTTCCCCACGTGTTCGTCTCAAGACGGGGTGTGGAGAGATGGAGTTAGAAGGTTCTGGTGACTCCAGAGGCCGAGACTGCTGAAGAAAGAAGCAACGCAGCAGCAAAGTGGGACCCAAAAAGAAAAAAAGTATGCGACAAAAGGCACAGTGAAACATTGCCACGGCAAGCAGGAAAGCAAGGCATCGTCCCATTTTATCTTTTTTTTTTTTTGTCGAACGGACTACAGTGTGTCACGGCGTGATGTCGCTGGGCATGCATCGGTTGGGTTGTGACGTCGAGAAAGACGTCGGGGGGAGACAACAGAAACGCGGCAGGGTAATAATCTGCACAGGGAGGGGGTGAAAACATTGTTTCCACATTTTGTTTTTTATTTGCTTTCTTTTGATTTGAGATTTAGCTTCTGCACCTTGTTTGTACGTATAAAAGGCTGAGCCTGACTGTTTAAAAGGTTGTCTATTGTGATGACTAAAAATTTGGATCTTTTTTTTTCTCTTGAGGCGTGTAAAGGTGCTGCGCCTCTGCTGCTTTTGATTTTGACTCCCATCCTCCTTTTTTATTGAATTCATCTTTACATGTGTACATCATTGCGAAAGTAGTCTGCGGCGGGTCTGCAGATTACTTTTTTTTTTTTCTTAGCATTTTGAATTCAGAACAACTTAAATTCAAAATAGCAAGCAGAAATCAGCAGCAACATGAGTGATAAATTTTCTCTGTGCATCAACCTCCTTTCCACCTCTCCTTTTGTAGCCTTTCGCAATATTTTGAGAGGTGAATCTTGACACCTGCACCTAAAATATATCAGCCTGGCTGAGCCTCTCATTTCTGCTTTGTGTGGTGGTTTTGACTTGTGCCCCTGTTGGCTGTGTGACACCTTTAGCTGGGTAATGAAATTATGATTGCAGCGTCCTGTGCACAGAAATGTAAAGTTTGTAAGCTTGGTGCGTGCAGAGTGCAAGGCTGGGGACACAAACGATGGTGAACCATTTGTGCAAAACTTTTGCTGAGGAGTACTATAGATGTGTGAAATTTCAAGCGCTTACGTTCACTTTGGTTTGTGGGCTGTAAAAGTAAAGAATAATGAGGCAGCACTGTCAACTGCAGACATTTTGGCGGTAGTGTCATGTGCATCCATGATGTGCTACTGTATCTGTATGGTCTGGTGGCGTTAATGGCGCATGTATTGGTAATTACACATGTTAGAATAACTGGTGTAAGATGAAAAAAAAGAAAAGGTGGTACAGACTTGCACACTGCGCTCGCGCAGCAAGCAAAGGCTGAGACTGTGTTCGGCCTGTCGTCTTGATCACTAGTGCTGCAGGGAGAGCGACATCATAGCATCACATGGTCCTGCAATGGTTTACTGACAAATCTGCACTCGGTCGCGAGTTTGATTGGTGTTTGGACTGTGGCATAGCTCTAAGCTGCACTTCAAATGTGTGGAGTTTTGTAAAGAGTCGAGCTGGCCCTAGTTACTTGGGATGCTGTGTAGAGCACTGCTGTAGGCAGTATGCTGCCAAAGTGGCGCGTCTTGGAAAATATTGTGGTCGCTACGAGTGCTGACCCCCTCGAAACACTCTTATGTTCGCTCCCGCCAAACCCACCAGCTCCAAATGAGAAACTGGAAGTGTGTTGTCACGCTGACTGCTTCCATGGGTCTTTTAGGCCCATGCTTAGCCATTATTGAGATTACGTTGATGGCCTAGCCTGCTCGAGCTCTGGTGTCACGTGCGGTATGACAGCACATGCCCTTGTGTAACATTTTGTTATCGCCCTCTCCCTGTCTTTTCATTTGCCCATCACTTTACATGCACTTTTTAGTTTACTCTAAAAAAAAAAAAACTTTTGTCTCGCCTTTCATTTTTTTAAGTTTCATAGCACAGAGGAATAGAAAAAAAGCCGTTGCTGTTGCCGCGTGGACTTTGCCTTTTGTTGCTGAGCTTTGTCACTGTTTACCACGTAATCCTAACACATCATGCTATCTCTCTTTGCATATGTTATCTTCTTGTTTAGCCAAGATAAGGGACCTGCTTTTAAAAAGCCTTGATGCCATCCCAGCTAGCTTGTTTTCCTCGACCATTTTATATATACAGAGTTCTTCATTTTCTGTATTTTTTTTCCCCTTTTGTACTGTGTAGTTCTCACAGTTAATGTATGAGAAGAGCTTGGTTGAAGGTTTTACTGGCTTTTCGCTTTGTTATCTGCGACTGTCTATGGTTCACTGGGTCTTTGTTTTTTCTCTTTATTCTGTCTTATGCCATTGATATGTTGCGCCTTCTCATTTTGCCACTCGGCTTTTTTTTTTTTTACTTTGGGTGCCTTCTGACTATTTTCTGTTACAGTATTTCAACCCTTTTTTTTTTGTTTCTTCTGCTGTGTACACTGTGGCTTAATATTTTTTTTATGCCTGGGGACCAACCCATAGGTCGCATGGCTTCCACACTTTTTGCCTGTGCTTCTGTTTCTTATTTTGTGTAATAAAGCTCCACACTCTCCATGCTTTGCCTCGTCTTTTCTTGCACCCTCCCATAGAACTGTCTATACCACACACGTTTCAATCTTAGTTCAAAATCTTTGATTCTTGGGCTCTGCTATTCATGCTGTTTCAATTCGGGGGTTGCCCTTGTGCCCTGTTGCTGCGTAGTTTGAATCAAGGTACTGGCATTCATAGAATGTACGAGGGTTTTCACTCGTCCTTTCAGCCTATCTTAACGCAGCCTTTTGAAAGCCCTAAAATGATTTGTGCCTAGCCTTTGGTTGGTCAGCGTGGTGATAGGCACGGTTACGAGGTTCGTGGTTTTGTTGTGGTGTGCAAGTGATTACATTTCGTCACCTCAAAGGAGAAGCAGCTTCGTCGACCTGCCGTAAATTCTTCAGGCCTGTTCTCACAGTACCTAGCACGCAAGAGCAACGGCTTTGTCAACTCCAGCTGCCAGGAGTTTTCTAGCTTTCCAAGTTTCTTTTTCTTTTCTCCTTTTATCCCCGCCATGCCTTATTCTTCTCTCCTGCATTATGGGGATTTGGAAGGTGTCAGACACTCTCTTACTAGCGTATAACCTTGTGAATGTCTTTCACATGTATCTTGGTTCCTGAAGTGTTTTTCATTTTTAGTGTCTTTTTTTGTTGGTGGTTGTGTTAACCTTGTAATCTGCCTCATTTGCTGCGACAGCACCCCCCTCCCTCAAGCCACTGTGGCCGAGGCAGATCTGAACAAAATAACATCCCCCCCCCCCCCCAACACATCATCATTCTTTATTATATTGTATCATTTTGTTTTTTGGCCATTCAGCATCGTTATCTCCTTTTAATGGGAGTACTGGGAGGATTCATGTGTTTAATTTTATGAAAGTGAAAGAAGCGAGTATTTTGGTGAATAAACATGTTGATTTCTTTTTTTATCAAGTACTGCAAAATCTTCCCATTCATTTTTTGAACTCTTGATTTTTGTTTCTATGCCTACCAGGAAGTGTTGCTAGTTATGTACATTGGCAAAATAGCTTGCCATTTGCTCGCAAATCTGAGCCTGCATTCCTGCGAATATTGTTACTCGTCAAACTTTTGCTGGCGCACGCTTGTTGCCAGAGTGCAGAAACTCGCTGAGTGTTGAGGGCTTGGCACGAGTTGAAAATGGACACACTAGTTGCAACCTCTTTCGGGGGCTGCTGCGACAAGCGCCGTTGATCGTCATCCGAGTATGCCGCATCTTTGTTCGTATAGGGGTGATTGCGATTTGAAAATGTCGAGATTTCGCTGACATCTGCACCCAGCTCTGTGCAGGTTGGTACGTACGATACAGCAAAGACCATTGTTGATGGCAATCAAAATTGTTCTTGCGACACAGGTATCACTTGTTCCACGGCCTCGCTGGTACATGCATTTATGCAACGCAGTATTTCCAAAGGCTGTGCTTTTTCGCCAATGCATTAGGTTGAAAATGGGAGCAAAGGTGGACTCAACCAATTACTGGAATGCAATGCAGGTTGATTGTGAGTGATGTTTGTGTGCATAAGTCCTGCGTTTTTATGAAAAATGGGAATAGGGAATACACATAAGAAATTCTGAGCTATGTTTCAGCACTTCATGTCAAATGCTCAGCAGCCTGCCTTTTCTTTTGTTGTCTGCACTTATAAAAATTTTGTGGAAGCCATTCTGTACAGATTTTGTTTCGTTGAAACTGGGTGAAAAAGGTGCGGTCTAGGACACGGCAGATTGACATACCTCCAAGGCTCGCCGAGCCTAAGTATAGCGAATGATGGTACTGCATTCGTCGTGTTCACAGCAGTATTGCACTTGTGAAAGCACCGAATTTTGTGTAGGATGCATGAGTGAAAATTTCACGTGCTCGGCTTGTGTGGTATTACATGTGACACACATAGTTCTAAAACCGGCTGTTTTGTGACTGTCGGTGTGCTTGTTAGAAGCACAGATTTCTGCTCTGTGTGGAAATGCCATTTGCTTGTTTCTTGGTTAGGATATTCAGGTAACTATGCTGCCAATGAGTTTTAAGAGAGCCATTTGTCTTAGGAGATAAGTGCAAGCCCCCTGTTGGTACAGTTTTGTTGGACTTTTGGTATCCAGGTTTGCAACATTGCAGCACAGGGGATGGGGTCTACCAAGAGGAGGATATTTAACATACAAGTGATATGCTCGTGTTCGATGTGCAGTGGATGATTAGTGTTTAAAGCGCACTGTGGGACTGCAGCACTGCAAAGTTATTTTGCAGCATGGGTTCATTGTAGTAGCCATGCAAAGGCATTTCACTAGCGAGGGAAAAATGAAGTGTATCCTGTAATCTGCTCGAAGGCGTATTACTTTTCTCAAATCGGTGGCGGTGAGGTTGCAGCATGTTGACAATGTGCGAATAATATCGGATATGCTCGTTAATGTTACTGCTGTTGTTGGAGCCACAGGTTTATGATCTGCTCACGTAGCTGCGAAGGTTGCGAAAAGTTTCGCTTGGGACTAGCGTGTAATGCTAGGTAAGCAGACCAAATGTGAAATTACTTCAACAGTGAGTCGGTCGTTGACTGAAGTCGGTTGTGTTTTGTGGATGTATTTGTTGTGGTGGTGTTAATTATTAGTCATTATTTTGCATGACATAAAATACTAGCTACTTTGTAGGGTCGCTGTTGGAGATTGCATTTCAAAGGTTGTATTGGGGCACAAAATTTTGTCGCGTTTCGAAGAAACGGCACCTAAAGGTCCATTGCATGCAAAGTGCATCTTTTTTTCTCGTTACGCCGCTCTCATACTTCAAAGCAGCGTTGTTTTAGTTAAGGGGGCCAGTTTTTTGAAGCAAGTGGCTTGTGCGGAAAGGGGGGGGGGAAGCATGTAAAAGCAGCTGCCCCCCCCCCCCAACCATATTTTAGTGTGGCCCCTTCCGAGAGCAAGCGCATTGGTCAAAGCAACACATACGCCCCCACCCGGCCTTCAAAAAAGCTCATTTGTCGTGGCCTCCCACCCTCCAGGAAAACTAATCCTGGCGTTGCCCATGTTGTGCCGATTGATGCAGAGGACGCAGTGAGCGTGGCATACATAGGCAGCAGTTGTTATACCCGAGCCTCTCGTGCGTTGATAGTAGGGGTGTCACTCTTGTGTCCGTGGCAGCAGCAGTCAATGAGCGAGATTGGAACGTTGCCACTTGCCCACGAGCTTGCGTCAAGCGCACATTAAGACGTGTGATACTTTGTAGAGTAGACTATATGAAAGCCACGAACAAGGCCGATATATATATATATATATATATATAATAATTGCAGCCAAGTCTCCCCTCCCCGATGACACTTTCATCTATTTTAAGTGCTGCAGCACAGGAAATTCATGAGTGTGGCTATTCTGTGAAGACGAGATGTATGCCTACTTGGCTTTCAGAGGATAAAAATATATATTCACGGAAGCCACCACCAAACAGGGTGTTTGTCATGCAATGCCAGACCTCGCATGAAACAATCGAGTTTTTGGTCCCGCTAGGACGAACGAGCCTGATATGAAGAAAAGGAAAAGGCAATGTAACACTTCTACATGGCGGTTCATTTGGAAGCGCGTGGGTACCCTTGGCGCAACCGTGGTCGATGGCTGCGACGTTTCACGCATTGTAGTGAGCAATGGTCCACTCGTGCGGTTCGTTTCGCGACTGTACTGAAACCGTAACCATATGTAGGCGCTACAGCGCGTCGGCGCTCGCCATGCTTTCTTTCTATGGAGGGTAAAATGCCTGAAGCTACAAGTAGCTTCGCACCCTTTCGCAGATAGAGGGCGTGCCGCGTGTTGCAGTGCGTACGGGTAGTAAAAGGCCTGGTGCCATGCTCGCGTTTCAGTGTCAGCGTGTAGCTTTTGTATGTGCGATTCTACGAAGTAGGAAGCGGGTTTGGTGTGCACGATAAGCGTCTCTTGAAGAGGACAGAGAAGGCGCCGCGCCCTCTATAAAGGCCTCACCACACGTATCCGTTGGAGCGCGTGCACAATGTTGTCAAAAAGCCATGTTTTGACAGGCTGCGTGTGGTCAGGTTTGACGGCGAAAAGCACGACAGTGCTCCCTGCGCGAAACTTGTTGCAGCCAGCGGTGGCTCGGAGGATCCCCCCACGCGCTCCGATGTTTCCTTTAGGGATGGACCTCTTTGTGTATGTATGCAAGAGGAAACATGGTCAAACGGCACGTTTTGCTCACCACAAGAAAGCAGCGGTGACATTTACGACTAGCCGGAACGTCTCGTACGCGTTCCTTTTGAGCTTTTCGGAGGACCGCGGCGTGCGACATTCTGTGGCAGCGCGAATTTAGCCGTGCCTTTCCAACTTGTTCCTTCGTTAGCTCTCTCTAAAGGTGAAGAAAAAAAAAAATCGATCCGCTATCCCCTCCCTGTACGATCAGGCGCGTGGTACACCGTGCGAGCAATTGTTAGTACTTCGCACCATCACGTTGGCGTGTCTGTGTTGAAAACTTTTTTTTTTGCACTTACATATCACCACACGCGAGAAAACGAACAATTTTTCCCCGAGACCCCCCCCTTTGTCCCCGCCCCTGCATTCGCACGGCCTAGGGCCACCGGTGAATACTGTTATACACTCAACCTTGTATCGCCTAACTGTACCGTATACACTCGTGCGCGATGCGCACCTCTATTTTCTATTCCACAGTTTTCCGTAGCATCTATAAGCGTCGGGCAAGTAAAGACTTGTCGCAAACTTCGTCGTTACTCTAGCTTCCCACTTATTCTCACCGAACTTTGTCGTGAAGTCATAGGTGGTTTTTTTTGTTTGTTTTTTCATTGGGTTCACTTGCAAATCAACCGGACTTGGGGCACGTTTGTGCCAGGTGGCATGCAGAGGGTATTTCGCTTCAGTGCCACTTTAGGACTAACCATTTCTTTTTGTGTCCAGTTTTCCAGGAATCGAAATTCTTAAGTGTAAGGCTTTATCTGCGGCCCACCTCTCATTTCGTGTTGACGTCAAAGCTTACTCTATGCATATTTCACACAGATCCATCGTAGCAGTTCAAGATTGTCGACTCTGAAGTCGGAACAGCGCTTGATTGTTTGTTTTGAAAGCTCACTATGACACACTTACCGATTGAGCGCTTGGTAGTGTGAGCTCGTGTTTGTGGTGTACCTCTTTTTGCGTACTGATGGCCCTGTCGGCGGCAATCGATGAAAAGATGCGCAAGTGCTCGCGCCGCGTTTTGTGATCGGGTGCCTGAATGCTGCCGAAGATCAGTTACGTGTACCTCGGGCTAGATGCTGTGACGTTACATAAACTTCCTCTGGCACTCTTCCGTGTACCTTGTTCTAGCCGGGAAATGGCAAGCTAAAAAGAATGACCACATGAAAGAAAACAGTCGCCCAGGTATTCCCAGTCGGCTAAGTAGCGAAAGGAACTTCGGAGCAGACATCTTGCAACAGTCGTCTCGTTTGAAGATGCCGTAGAACCTTTTTTCTTTTCTTTAAATCGCAAGTCCTAGAGACTACAGAACTAACGTACCGTACGCCAGTGGGGCTGAGGGGTAGTTCACTAGCGGGCGGGTAAAACCCATTTCTTTCGAGGACCGCCTTCATCTCCCAATGTCTTTGTCAAAAAATATCAAAGTACGTGCATATTCATTACTATAACGCTGCTGCCTTGTAAACATTTTTCCCTGTGTTGCTCGCCTTTTCTACTGATTCTCCTGCTGTCACTGTTTTCCCACATATTTTCCACATGAAAAAAAAAAAACGTGCCTCTTTTAACGGGCTTCTAAACGACATTTCATTTATTGCCTAAACTTTGCTGTGCTGTGTACCCCTTTTATGCGCCATCATTTTCAACTATGCTTTTTTTTTTTTCTGGGGATCTTGTTCTACCTTGGAGCTGTCTTGACCACGCGAGTGGCGCAAAACTGAGCTTAACTTTTTTGGTCACGTTTCAAATGCTCACTT